GAGCACTTGTTAGTAGCTCTCCTGTTAAGAAATGGCCACCATTATTTATACAGGACACAGATTAAGTTTTAACACATTATTTTTATTAGAAATTAAAATTATTTTTAGCATTTTGAATTAGAGTAATAATTTTTTGAGAATAATACCATTGACACAGAAATAACAGCTATTTACATGTACAAGATCATAATAGTGCATGTAAACACAATAAAGTTAGGTACATTAGTTTTTTAAATTCAATTACCAAAATGACTGTTCACGTGTTGTTCAAACACATGCTGAGAGGTCCTTGCTGGAAAAGCAAGTTGACACATCGGACACTGACGTGTTCCATTTGCCCCATCACGGTCAAACGGCTGTGGTTGAGGGTGAATACAGTGCTGAGTAGGAGCAGCATAGCCTCCATGATGTGGTGGTCTCTGAGGTGCTGGTGGATGGACTGTTCTTGAGTCAGGTCTATAGCCAGGACCATAGGGAGGAGGAGGGGCAGTAGGTGGAGTGTATTTTGGTAGACTTTGCTTTATTTCCCTTAGCTGTTTCTTGAGTTGCTCATTCTCCACGTTAAGAGTCTCAATACTTCTCTTCATTGCTGTTTCCTGGTGAGTCAATCCATCCACTTTATCGTGTAGCTTTCTATTCTCCTCCTCAAGCGTTTCTATTTCTTCTTTTTGTTGCTCAACGACTTCATTTTTCTCTGCTATTTTCCTGTCATGCATCAACTGGAACTGCTCAAGCTCATGCTCTAGTTTTGCCTTTTCACTTGGTTGAGTGCTGCCAGTAGGAGTAGAGCTACCACTCTTTTTGAATTTCTTTTGCAAGTGAGCATTTTCTGTTGCAATATTTCTGTATTCTTCTTGACATAACTTAATCCTCTGCTCCATTTCGGCTATTTTTCTTTTTTGTGAATGATTAATTTTTTTCTCATTTTTCAGTTGATCACCTATATCTTCAAAAGCCATTCGCATAGCATCAAAGACAGATTTATCAACTTTATCAGTGACTGGCACGTCAGGTAGACTGTCTCGTGGCTCTTTGATATTACCGGCCATCTCACAGACATTCTGTTGCATCACGTTGTACTCTTGCTCTTTGGAGACAAGCTGCTTTGCAAGACTTTGATTCTCTGCCTTCTCTTTATCCAATTCTTTGTTGAGCTCGCTCAAATCATTTTCCAAACTGGACACCTGTACTTTCATCACTTCAATGGTCTGTTGATTTCTCTCTGCTTCAGCCTCATAGTACTCACTGCGACCAATCAATGCTTCCTTGTCCTCCTCCAGTTTCCTCTGGCTTTCCTCCAATTGGCTGCAATGTGTGCGTAGAAGAGTCTCAGACTCAACCTTCTCTGTCTGCAAGGTTTCATTCTCTTCTTTTAATTGCTTGATTGTGTTTTGAGCAGCAATCAGCTCATCCTCTTTCCTGTCACTGAAGACTTGTATCTGTTGGAGGTGAGAGGTCACATCATCAAGCTCGTGTTTAAGAGCATCCTTTGATTTCTGTAGCTGCTCAAACTCGTGTCCCCTTTCCTTGAAGGTGTCCTCAAATGACAGCAGCTTCTGCTTGTAGTCTTCAATGACGGTGTTTAGATTTGAAATAATTGCATTTTTGCCTGCTATGTCTTCTTTTAGAGTAGCAATTTCAGCTATTTTTTCTTCAATTTCTTTCCTAGCATCTTCAACCTCGACTAGCAACTCTTTCATTTCATTTTCCAGCTCAGTCTTTTCAGAGAGGACCCTTTCATTTTCTGTTTTCACTTTCACAAAAGATTCTTCAACATTAACTTTTGTTTGCATCAATTCTGTGACTTTTTTCTCAAGCTCAGACACTTGCGCGTCTTGTTTTGAACGCAAGAGAACCAAACTGTCTTCTTCGTTAATCTCAACTACTTCCATATCCTCAGAAACAGCTCCCCTAACAGAAGCAGAGAATTGAAAAGGACGGCTAGCTCCTTTTATGGCCCCGCTCTTACTAACATAACAAAATTGATAAAACTGTCCATCATCTGGTGGCAGACGAGATCCAGTGAACCTCACTGATCTTTCCCTCCCTTCCTCGTCTTTAGTAGAAGCCCATTCAAACGTATAATAGTCTCTGCTCGAGGACCAGCCGACGCGAAACAGACCTACCCAGTCGCGGCCATGAACTTCATAGCCGTCAGCCAGTTTGTAAAACACCAATAGAGTCTCCCCTGGTTTAAAGCCGCCAGGAACATTAACGAAATTCACTTTATCCACTTGCTCCGTAGCCATTGTAAAATATTATGTGAGTTAGCTCTGACAGCTTCTCTTCATTTTTAAAGGGAAATGCCCAGAACCTTGTACTATTTTTAGTAACAAAAAAGTCGTCATAATCTCATAGACGTCACGTGACTAATAATTGAACTTCGAGCCCCACCTTTATCCTCTGACTGTATTGTTTGTAGAACTTTCGTCTGTCTTCTAGTCAAGATGAAGTCATTGCTTCTAGTCCTTTCCCTGTGCATATGTTACTCTGTTAGTGGGGAAGAGGCTGAGAGACACAGACAAGAGGTTGAGGGAGTCTTAAACGGGACTTTCACCTTCAGCCCATACGGTTATCTCTTCCCATTGGATCCAAGTGAGGCCACACCCAACAACTATTATTGTTTGTGACTAGAAATTTGTCAACACACTAATTGAATACTTCCTAAAAGAGACAGAGACATTGACTAATTTACACTGCCCATTATAGCCTTGCCAACAACAGATGCATGTTCACTGAGGATGCAATAAATACAATACATACAGAGATTATTGCTAATGTGAAGAGAGACAAACACATTCCAATATCATGTCCTAATTTCCTTATCTCTCCCCCCCCTTAGTTGCTACATCACTAGTATTGGTTGGTGTGTTTGGCATCATAGGATTATTGAGTGTGCTGGTCTATTGGCCATTGCCTACACCAAAGGCATTCAGTGAGAGAGACTAACAGAGTGACATATATGTACATGTATGTGTATTATTATCACAGTATTATTGGTTGTATGAATCAGTATTATTGGTTTTATTATACTCGGTATATATATATATACTGTTTTTGAAATCATTATGAAAGTAAAAATGAGATTTGTTATTATAATAAATCACTATAGTGTTCAACATTACCCATGCAAGCAGTGTGATGCAACACTATATAGGGACTTTCTACCTACTAATACGTTATGTAATGTCTTATCATCTTTGAGTGTATAGTATTTATATATAAAGAGAGAGAGGACTGGTGCATGATGGGATTCAGACAAGACTGTCATCGTTGCTGTCATTAGAAGCAAGCATTGATGAGGTTATAGACAGATCAGTTCCAGTAGACATGATAGAACTATTGCAGCGTACCAGATCAATGGACAAACGTCTCATTTTGCTGTCCATTGATGAAGTACTAACAAATGATGCATTCTCTTTGTTATCATCCTCCATTGCTTGTGAGCATTGTCTCTTAGAGGGTGAGGTTGGGTAGAGGTGAGCTGCTAGCTGTAGGGGAAGACCGCACGAGTTAGGAGTGTTGCTGGTACATTTCTGATGAACAACAAAACTGCAGTCTAAAGGAAGAGGGGAATAATTGATTGACTGTGTACAATTGTCTCATTGATGTTGCATATCTAAATACGTCCAAGGGAAAATTAAATTTAAAGGAGCATTAAAGTGCATGCACTGTCATGCACGGTGACTTTGATGAGGTGCATATGATGTACAATGTATAGACATGATTCATGTATCACATGACATCAGTTATGATTATGTAATAAGAACTACAACCAATCAACTACTGACACACAATCCATACACAAGTAACTGTACAAGTGTACATACATTGACTGCTGAGTGATGCTCATGTGGTTAAAGGAATGTAAACCATCAACCTTATTGCTTACAACCTCCTCTCTATTGTACATGTATATACTTACATGCACATTTGGCATATTTCTGTGTGTGTTTGATTGATCCTGAACAAGTGGAGCAGGAATGACTCTTATGGAATGCACCAGACTTAATCACCCACCTACATGTAATAATAACAATAATAATAATAATAATAATAATAATAATAATAAAATACATAGTGTACATGTATTTAGGTGACCTGTGTGGTATGTTATGTTCCAGTACTGCTGATGATGAGTCAGGGGCTGATCTCTTGATACCTGATTTACTGGGAGTAGGGGCGACACTGCTTGAACAAACTGCATGAAAGTTGTAAAATGAAACATAAAAGAGATAACAATGTATCATTATTACCTAGTGATGATGTTGCCCCTGGTGTCACTGACGGTTTATTATTACGCGTTGATCTAACAGACTAATATAGAAAATGAATAAATAAAAATATATAATTCAAAGCTGACTTGTCCTCCAGGTGTGGCTTGATCCACTAGTATACTACTAATACTTGGACTTCTGGACACTCTATTGTCACCTGAGATGTAAAATAAACTAATAACTAATGCACAGGGTCAGCAGTCTTAGCAATATTGCAAGGAGTACATGTACATGTGTCATTTTGTACTTTTAACATAATTATGTATTCTTTGGCTATAGACTACTCATGAATATTGAGCATAACCACAGTTAACATAACCTCATAACAGGAAAAGCATCCACGCTTTAATATGGCAGAAGAAGAAAACAAAGATGGCGGCTATGATTGTGATTTTCTAGAAGAGCCTCCTGATGACTTAATCTGTCCAATATGTCTCCTACCTCCTAGGAAACCTCATCTCATCTCATGCTGTGGTAGAAAGCTCTGTCATTTTTGTGTTAATAGAGTAAAACAAGCTGGAGACCCGTGTCCTTGTTGTAGAGAAAAGCAATATGTCATAGTTATAGATAAAATAGTGGAGAGGCAGGTATTAGACCTGAAGGTTTATTGTAAGAATAAAAGTAAAGGATGCCATTGGAACGGTGAGCTACGTGACCTTGAGAAACACACAGAATCATGTCATGTAACTAGTGCTGAGTTACTAGCTGAACAAAAAAAGATTATAGAGAAACAAGCTGAAGATATCAAGAGATTAGAAGAAAAAAACAAAAAAATGACCAAGGAAATGGAAAATCTTTCACTGACAAAGAAAGAAGGAGAGACAGCAATGAAGAGAAGTATTGCGACTCTTAATGTTGAGAACGAGAAACTGAAACAACAGCTAAGAGAAATAAAGCAGAGTTTACCTCAACCCACACCCCTGGCAAACTATCATCCAATGTTCCCTCGACCATCTCACCAATTCCTACCATTCCCTCCACCACATGCTACACCACCTGCAACCTACCAATTCACACCATTTCATCGGCCGCCAGTCCCGCCACCTGGTACACATAATGTAGCTCAACAATTTACACCATTCCCTCCACCACTTGCTGCTAATCCTTACGATAGCAACCAGGGAATATGTCCAAGATGCCGTAATGTAATACATCGTTATGCTAAATATTGTGGCAAGTGTGGAATCTATATCAATTAATGAACATCAAATTTTATGGAAAAAATGAAACGACAGTTACAAGATAATGAAGAAAAATCCATTGACTAGGCACCTACCACTCAATGGTCATGAATGACAGTTACAATTTATGAAATGGAATGAGGTCAAATTAATGCACAACACAAAAAATAAGCATACTAAAGGTGAAGATAGGACTCTATGAAAGAAACAGCAATGAAGATCGATAGTTTAAAATGTGGAGCAGGCTCAACAGTTGTATTGACTGATCATTAATGTCAAATATGTGCTAGCAAGTACATCACAGCATACAATGAGCAACATCTCAACGGCTCAACCACCACTATTCTGGTACTTTTTAATGTAGTAATACTAATACAGTATCACTGCATTCACTGGAGATACAATGTATCTGTGAGAACAATACAGTGCAAATTCTTACCTTTTTTGGAAGTTTTAAAAATTGTGAAATCTGATATTGCGACATGTCCATATGACACAACCCAGCCTATGAATAATTCACTTTTAAGTTTTTAATGAGAAACTTGCATGAGGTTCCCATAGCAACCTCCTCTCAGTCAACAATCCTACATGGCAGAAGAAGAAGGCAAAGATGGCGGCTATGATTGTGATCTTATAGAGGAGCCTCCTGATGACTTAATCTGTCCAATATGTCTCCTACCTCCTAGGAAACCTCATCTCATCTCATGCTGTGGTAGAAAGCTCTGTCATTCTTGTGTTGATCGAGTAAAACAAGCTGGACAACCATGTCCTTGTTGTAGAGAAGAGGAATACATCATAGTTAAAGATAAAATGGTGGAGAGGCAGGTATTAGACCTGAAGGTTTATTGTAAGAATAAAAGTAAAGGATGCCACTGGAGTGGTGAGCTACGTGACCTTGAGAAACATACTGAATCATGTTATGTAACTAGTGCTGAGTTACTAGCTGAGACACAAGCTGAAGAAATTAAAAAATTAAAAAAGGAGCTTGATGATGTGACCTCTCACCTCCAGCAGATACAAGTCTTGAGTGACAGGAAAGAGGATGAGCTGATTGCTGCTCAAAACACAATCAAGCAATTAAAAGAAGAGAATGAGACCTTGCAGGCAGAGAAAAATGAAGTTTTTGAGCATCAAAAAGAAGAAATAGAAACACTTAAGGAGGAGAATAGAAAGCAACAAGATAAAGTAGAAGGATTGTCTCGCCAAGAGACAGCAATGAAGAAGAGAAACGACAATCTTCATGTAGAGAATCAGCGACTCAAACGACAGCTAAAAGAAATGAAGCAAAGTCCACAATTCACTCCACCTAATGCTCCACCTCCTCCTCCTCCTCCTTTTGGTCCTGGCTATCCTCCACCACAAAGTATGCCATTATATGAACCATATCATCCACAGCGAGGTGCATTTCGTCCTCAGTATCGTCCACGAGGACCACCACCACATGACATGTATCGTCCACCACATGACATGCATCACCCTCAATATCATAAACACCGTCAGCAGTTTAATTGAGGTGGTGTCAATGGTGTCAAAGCCAAGTGAAGCTAACCATGCATTGGGCAAAGATAATAACTATATATCATGTAGTTTTAGTGTGTACTGTTTATGCATACAAAAGTGCTATTTTAAAAAAACAGTGGATGTACATGTACAATGTATATTGATCATTAGTGCATATACCTTTATTGTCTTTAGAGTTCTTTGCAATATCTTTTAATATCATCCATTCACTTCTCTCCTTCTCTGGATCACGTTTCTTACGACTTAACTTTAAACCCTAAAAATAAAAAGAAATAATTATACACACATACACTACAATGCAATATGGTACCTTCTTGGGGTTACTCCTCTTCTTAGCTGCACTAGGTGTGTTGTGTCTATAGTCGATGAGTTTAGTGAACTGAGCTAGTTGTATTTGCATTCTAGTTCTCTCCAGCTCCAGTGCCTCTTCAATGACTGCCTTATCTTGAAGAGCTTGTTCAGTTTCCTTTGAAGCTTCAGCAGCACGTGACTCCTGGGTCTTGAGCTGTTTAGAGAGTTTCATGTGAGCTGCCTGTAATTTACCATGCTCCTGACGCAAATGATATATCTGGAGAAATAAAGAACATAATTATGATTCTTAGTTTGTGTCTACTAGTTACATCATCGTATAGTTTATTGTTTAGATTCTGCTCCAGTTTCAAGGCCTCGGTCATCTCCTGACACTCTACAGTCTTCATACCTAACTCCTTCTCATACTCCAGTACCTACAATACACAAATGATACACAAAATAACTAATATAATCATGTATACAAGCAATAGAACTGAATGTAAAATACTTAATTTATATCCATACCTTAAAGTTATATTCATCAGTTAGTTGTTTTTGAATGAGAAGTTCCTCTTGAAGTGAAGAAATGTTGTCATCAGTGTTACTGCTGGTAGGTGTGGTTTTTGGCTCCTCCCCCTCAGCTTCTTCGTAGCATTTCAGTTCTTTAAGTATTGCATCATACTTATCTTGCAACTAAAAATAAATAAATAAAATTAAAGTTTAATTATAATTTACAGATTGTTTCAGAGTAGCTTCAAGATCAAGTGATTTCTCCATCTCCTGACACTGTACAGTCTTTAAACTTAGTTCCTTCTCACACTCAAGTACCTTTAGAATAATAATAAATAATAATAATAATAATAATAATACACAAATACATGTACAATAACAGCTTTTATTATTAATAATTAATTATTTATCATTTTTACCTTTGCACTGTACTGGTCTGTGAGCTGTTTCTGTGTCTCTAGCTCAACCTTCAGCTCCTCCAGTTCTCTACTGCTAGTGACAGACACTCTAGCACTGCTGCTGGCATTCTCCTGCTTGATCTGTAACTCTTTTAATTGTTTCAGTTCTTTATTAACAGCAGTGAATCTATCCTGCAACTGATAGAAAGGGAACAGTACATACAGGTATTAATAGTATCATTATTATTAATAGTACTTCAGCATATTCATTGTGAAGTGTCATTATTCTTTTCTTGGAGTCATCAGACAATCTCTGGAGTTTGTCCTGGAGGTGAGCTGTATCAATCTTACTCCTTTCCCTAGCGTGGGCCAGCCTTGACTTCAAATCAGACACTTTAGCAGTACAACAATCTAATTCCTAAATATAACAATAAATAAATATGAATAAATAAATAAAAATAGTTTTTTGAGTTTACAATTTGTTTTTTCTTGAGTTCTTCGTGTGCTCTCTGGCACCTCTTGACAGCTGAGACTCTTTCCTGCTCAAGTTGAACTAAAGCACTTTGAACCTGCTCACTCAACTCCCTATGAGACAATACAGTAGGAGTAGGATTAAAATGACCGTAACTTCAAAAATTGAAGTCGGAATCACCTCAAACTTGCTACACAGCATAAGGACATCAATATGTATCAAAAAATGTAATAAAAATTTGGGGTGATTTCGGAGCCATTTTTTGGAAAAAAACCATGGGCTATAGCCTTGGGTATTTTTCAGATTTTTGACGTTTTCTTAAAATGGCCGTAACTTGAAAAATTGAAGTCGGAATCACCTCAAACTTGCTACACAGCATAAGGACATCAATATGTATCAGAAATTGTAATAAAAATTTGGGGTGATTTCGGAGCCATTTTTTGGAAAAAAGCATGGGCTATAGCCTTGGGTATTTTTCAGATTTTTGACGTTTTCTTAAAATGACCGTAACTTCAAAAATTGAAGTCAGAATCACCTCAAACTTGCTACACAGCATAAGGGTATCAATATGTATCAGAAAATGTAATAAAAATTTGGGGTGATTTCGGAGCCATTTTTTGGAAAAAACCATGGGCTATAGTACAGGGTATTTTTCAGATTTTTGACGTTTTCTTAAAATGACCGTAACATCAAAAATTGAAGTGAGAATCACCTCAAACTTGCTACACAGCATAAGGGTATCAATATGTATCAGAAAATGTAATAAAAATTTGGGGTGATTTCGGAGCCATTTTTTGGAAAAAACCACGGGCTATAGTACAGGGTATTTTTCAGATTTTTGACGTTTTCTTAAAATGACCGTAACTTCAAAAATTGAAGTCAGAATCACCTCAAACTTGCTACACAGCATAAGGGTATCAATATGTATCAGAAAATGTAATAAAAATTTGGGGTGATTTCGGAGCCATTTTTTGGAAAAAACCACGGGCTATAGTACAGGGTATTTTTCAGATTTTTGACGTTTTCTTAAAATGACCGTAACTTCAAAAATTGAAGTCAGAATCACCTCAAACTTGCTACACAGCATAAGGGTATCAATATGTATCAGAAAATGTAATAAAAATTTGGGGTGATTTCGGAGCCATTTTTTGGAAAAAACCATGGGCTATAGCCTTGGGTATTTTTCAGATTTTTGACGTTTTCTTAAAATGGCCGTAACTTGAAAAATTGAAGTCGGAATCAACTCAAACTTGCTACACAGCATAAGGACATCAATATGTATCAGAAAATGTAATAAAAATTTGGGGTGATTTCGGAGCCATTTTTTGGAAAAAACCATGGGCTATAGTCTTGGGTACTTTTTAGATTCTTGGCATTTTCTTATATAATAAATAATAAAATATATA